GGTGCTTTTGCTTTTAAAAAATGTACACAAAACAAAATACACACACGTTGCCACTTTCGAGTGTGCAGTCCATGGCAGTGAGCACTCACTGTTGTGCACTCACCGACACTGTCCACCTCCAGACGCCCACAACTTCCCAGACTGAGTTTGCCTTCTTAAACATTTGCTCTCCAGCCCCTCCCCAGCTCCCATTCTACTTTCTGCCTCTGCGAATTTGACTGCTCAGGAGCCTTCGAGAAGTGGGATCTTGAAGTCCTTGTCCCCTTGTGACTGGCTAATAGCCTCAGTGTTCACTCCTGCTGTAGCACGCCTCACTTTGCTTCATTTCCAGGCTAACACTGCACTGTGGAGCCGGTCCCCACACAGCTGAGCTGTGCTCTAGGGAGCAGATGGGAAGCTGGGCCCAGCTGGGTGATGCCTCTGTGGAGGGGATCATCTCAGAGGCGGCTCTCGATTCTAGCAGGTGAAGGTAGGGCATGAGATGGGGTAGGGCTTGCCCCCGGGAAGGGCCAGGGCCAGAAGAGGCTATGTTTTGGAACAATGCCTCTCACTCTTCCTCCTCACCATCCCTCCTCTTGCTCACTCCCTTACTCCTGCTGAGGACACTGGCTGCTCGAAATTCACTGATTTGCCTGACTTCTCTCTTAATAACTGGGTAGGGCAGTGCCTTGGTTTCCCTGTTTGTAAAATGAGGATAGCACTTAGAGGGCTAAGCCATCAGATGTCTATAAGGCTCTTATAGAGCCTTATATCAGCCACTCCTGTTTAGCTCTTCTGTGTATTTACTGACTGACACTGGCCAAAGAGCCTGAGCAGGCGACCAGGCAATGGGCAGAGTGAAGCTGTGAAAACAAGACCCTCGTCCACTCCATGGCAGCTCAGAGCTAGGAATGGTGACACACGGAGCCAAGGCAGGAGTGCAGGTAAGTGCAGGCCTGGTGGGAAGTTCCAGCCGGGTAGACAATACAGGTTCTCTGCTACACTCCCAGGGCTTGGGACCTGGAACCCAATGGCTGTCCACTGGTTTATGAGCTAGTCTGGCTTACCAGATGAAGCCCCATTTGAAGAATGGAAAGGAGAGCCTTTGGTTCCCTGGAGAGGGCCATGGTCGTAGTCAGAACAGGAGGTTAGGTGGAAAGGGATTGTGGAGGCCACGAGGCCCCTTACTCCCTTCTCCCCCATGGCAGGACATTCCACCTTTGCAACTCCTACATCACTGTGGGAGGCCCTGAGGAGTGGGGACAAGGCCAGCTGGGCCCAGGGCCACTTCTGTGGGTGGAGGGAGGCTATCCAAGACCACTGCCTTGACTCTTGACCTGCCTGGGCTTAGCATTCCAGCCAAGTCCCTCAGGGAGGTGGAAGGAGGACTGTGTCCCCAAGCTCTGACCCCAGCCAAGGCAAACACACCACCCACTCCGAAGGGAGGCACAACTGAACAGAGGCTCAGGACACTCGGGAGCCTTGGGGCTTCTGGGGCTCCTGAGGGGTACCTGGTCCTGTTTCTATCCAAGCCAGGCTCTTCACTAAGGCTCCTTAACTCCATAGTCTTCCTTCCTCCTCTAGGGCCCTCTAGGCTTGGAGGGTTCCGGTTCTATGAGGCTGCCTCCATCTGCTTCCTCGGACCCGGAGCGGTCTGGCTTCTTCTGGAAACGCTTAGCGCCTTCAGGCCTTGGATAGCCAGGGCTGACCCCCACCCCACCAACTGAGACCTCTATGCCTCATGTGTATTTCTCAGCGCTCAGATTCCCCCTGTATTATCTATGGCTGGCCTGCAGCCTGGGCATAGCTGTATTCTTTTTTTTTTTTTTTTGGGGGGGGGGGAGCGGCGGTGCGCAGAGATTTGAGACAGGGTTTGTCTGTGTAGTCCTGGCTGTTCTGAAACTCACCCTGTAGACAAGGCTGGCCTCACACTCAGAGATCTGCCTGCCTCTGCCTCCTGAGTGCTGTGCCTAATGGCATGCACCACCACTGCCCTGCCGAAGTCAAAAGCTAGGGTCATGGGCTCTTTAAGTACTGGGCAGGTGGGTGTTGGGGGGCTGATCCTATTACTTCACCCTGCACTTGGGGACTTGGAACCCAGCTGCATCTTTCTATGGTGCTGGGAGAGTTCTAACAATGCAAGACAGGACATCAAGAGCCACTGCTTTGGGTTCTTCTGGGATGGAGGTGCAGAACGCTCAGGGCCAACCTGACCTCGGTACTCTCCATCCGTAGTGCAAACAGAGGAGCTCTGGAGTTGAGCCCTGTGTGACCCCAAGCAACTCTGAGGACTTTATCCTCAGAGCCTCAGTTTTCCCCATAAGTGAAGAATAAACTCTGCCAGGCCAAGATGCTGGCCAGAGTACCTTTGATGCAGGCAGTCACTAACCGGTCCTTGAACAGTCTGTCACCCCGTGGGCCTCTATTTTCCCCTCTTCCCACCCACCCCTCGTCCCAGCCCTGCCGGTTTCTCCAGGCCTTGGTGAAGCACTAGAGCAGCCAGCACCGCCAGCCGCACCGTGGCCTTTCATCACAGGCAGGAAGGCCTGGCTCAGCAGCAACTGCGGGATGGGATCTAGACCAGATGTCAGGAGCTGCGGGGAGCTGGGAACGCTGTGACCTCCATCCCAAGCTGACCTCCGCCTCCTCTTCTCCTGCTTCTCACCCCCACCCCCCAGGGGAGTCTGGCCAGACCTGCCCCCTACTTTCCCTTCCCAAGAGCCTTCATGAAAGGGGAGGGGGACCCAGCAAACAGGACTGAGGGGCTGTGGCCAGCCCACCTCAGCTAACAGCTGCAGCACTCTAGACTTGTGGATATTATGAGTCCATAGCTTAGCTGCCACAAAATCAAGACACTCAGCCCTCAAATGGGCCAGGCCAACAAGGGCCTGGCTCAGAATGTCTTTCGGAACAGGATGAACCCCTATTCCCTGATCCAGAGCTCACCCACGGGGCTCGGCCCCCACCCAGGGCTTCCTGCTCATCCATCAGAACCATGATGCTCCAACCTGAACACCTGCAGTTGATTACTGTCCTCAGAGGCAGCAGGTGTTTGTTTGCTTCTTTTGAGACGGGTCTCAAGTAGCCAAGGCTAGCCTAAAACTCCTGCTTCTGCTATCTCTGCCTCCTGAATGCCATCATTTTATTTAGTGCTGGGGATCAAACCCAGGGCCTGCGCATGCTAGGGAAACACGCTACCAACAGAGCCACTTCCCCAGCCCTGCTCCTGTCCCCACTGTACAGGCAGGGAAACTGGGGTGCAACCCAGGGCCCCGACTTTCCAGTGAATGGTTTTGCTATGCCCAAAGGCCGGTCGCATGATTACTGCCCTATCCTGGTTTTGAAACCAGAAATAAAACTTTGAGCTGGCCCAGTGCCCAGGACTTGGTGTGGCACTGTCATTCATTTATTCATTCATTCATTCATTCATTCATTCATTCATTCATTCATTCTTCATGGTACAAACTCTTCCGTGCCTCATGCATGTATGGGTGTGTGATGCCTTTGTGCACACAGAGCCCAGGGTCTGTGGGGCCCAGAGGCTGCTTGTAGAAGCATCTAAAGGTTGTGGGAGCATTCATCAGGCACAGCACCAGCACTGGGTGAGCAGGGCTGCCCACTCTCACCTCCCCCTTCCTGGTGCTGGAGGCCTGAGCCCCCTCCTTGGCATCTGGATTTCATAGGCACGTGTGACAGCCTTTGTTAGGGAACACTGCGTCTCCCTCGCTGCCCCAGATTCCTCCCATGGCCTTGGGGTCTTGCCAGCCCCATCAGCCAACTCCTCTAGCTTCCTGCTTCCTGTCTGGGCAGACCCCACCCCACTCAAGTTCCACCTCCTGCTCCTGGGAACTGGGTTTGGGAGGCAAAGGGAAGTGCCTGCCTGCACTGCTGAAGGGGTTAAATATCCTTCCTGCCTCCCTTTTTCAAGAACAAGGCCATTTCCTAATCCTTGCCAGGGCTTTGCCACCCATGTGTAGAAGAACCAGCTTAGCTGTGGCTGATACAACACATGCCAAGTTCACATTCTGACCTCTGTTACATGGGAATGTCTGCGTCCTGACTGTCACTAGCAGCTGTGTGTCTGTGCATGAGACACCTGACCTCTCTGAGCCTCCAGCTTTCCATGGGGACATAGTTCCATCTTCTATTATCCAGACTTGGCTCTGCGTGTGCTTTGGAATCCGGACCTTCTAGAGGCATAGGAGGACGTAAGCAGCTCAGCGGCAGAGTGCTCGCCCAAAAGCCTTCATTCTGTGGCTGTAGGCTGTCTCAGGTGAGACTTCAGTAGCAAACTGTATGAATATTGGCCCTTACTAGGAAACGCAAAGCCTCAGGTCACTTTAGTGCCAAAATGAGCTATTAAAGATACCAAATCCGGGTTATCAAAGCTGTGGAAGATTTGCACAGTGTCCAGGACATAGCAAGGAAGTCAAGGAGGACAGTGGGCTCATCTGGACTCGGAGCAGGCAGAGAATATTTGAAGCAGGCAGCTTCAAAATGGAAGTGGGGCCCTCCCTGGGTTTCCACCCCCAGGGCCCTAACACTTCCACACCTCTTGAACCAGGCTGCATGGAGGAACCATGGGCAAGGCAGAGGTGTCAGGCCAAACACCAGGGCTGGCTATCCAGTGGCAGGAAGAAGCTGTCCTGCCCGGGTGCTACAGCATTGGTGTTTGGTGGCAACCGCCCTAATTCCCAATCCCAGACTGCTCACCATTTCAGGCGTCCCCTGGGCCTTTGAAGCTGACCAGATTGCCAGTCCCTACCCTAGAAGATGGACCAGATCATCATAGAGGTGTTACCCCCTCCTTCCCTGAGAGTTCTTCCTGGGATGTGTGCGGCACCCAGTTTCACAGCTACGCAAAAGCTGGAGGGGCTTCTGCGCCCCAGAACTCTTAGGCGCGCCCCTGGGGCTAGCCTCATGCTACCCGGGTTCTGAAGCCTGCAGCAGGGTGCACAGCCCCCCTCCTCTGCCCGGACCTCCATGGGCTGGAGACAAGGTGACAGGGGACTCAGGCTTACCTAGGCGCAGGGTAAGGTTAACTGAGGTGGGGTACTGCACCCCAAAGGCCATGGATGGGCTCTGCCACCAGGTGCTGTCATCCGGGCTGTGGAAGTCTGTGAGGTAGGAGGCGTCGTGGCGTCGCCGGGGGTCGGCATCGTCGCAGCGCTGGCACTGGGGCCCCACGCCGGGCGCCCCGACGTGCGGACAGTAATCTTCGGGGGGCCGTCCGCACGTGTGCGAGGCCTCGGCGCGTCGGCCGAACGCGGCGTTCTCGAACTCGGGCAGACAGCGCTGTGCGCGTCCCGCGCCGTCGTAGCAAGAGCCCATGCCCACGCCCGCAGCGCAGTGCGCCCCCAGCATCACCAGCGCCACCAGGGCCACCAGCGCCACCGATGCCACTCCTGCCGGGCGGGACAGGACCCCGGACGCGGCCATGGCCCGCGCCCCGCTCCGCACTGCGCCCGGGTCCTCTCCGCGCTGCGGTCTGCGCTCGGCCCCTCTGCGCCCCACCGGCACCTCAGCCCTTCCCCTGCAGGCGGAACCCGACGGCCTCTGAGGGCGGAACCTTCGCCGGCGACATCCCACCGTCCGAGCCCAGTCCCTTCGTGCTCACCCCCACCTGCTGGACGTGCCCGGGAGTGCCTGCTTGTTCTGGCTGGGCCTCGGGACTGGGAGCCTGACCAGCGGTCCTCGCTGAGACACCGCGTCATTCTGCTAGTGGGACGCTTTTACGGAAGCCACCCTGAACTGAAAGGCAAGGCAAGAGCAGGTCTTCACCTTGTAGAATGGCCTTTGGGAGTTTTCGTTCATACCTGTCCATGTTTCTCCTTAAAAGGTGTTGCAGCTCCTGGCTTCTCTCCTGTAGCAGATCTTTTTACCGAAGGCTTCCTCTTATGAACAGAGGCCTCCCCTTCTTTTCACCAAGCTAATGTCCTTCCCAAGGCAGCTCCAGGTCCTGTAGACAGCAAAACAAAATGACCCCGAGTCAGGGACATAGCCTCTGAGCTGGACACCGTCAGACCCACAAGGCCCAAGGTGGACAGACCCAGTAGGGGTCCAACCCTGCATGGAAGTTAGGGTCAGGGTTAGGGAAGTGGTTCTGTTGGGGTCGGCCTGGGTAGCCCGGAGTGCATGGCAAACGGTGACGAAAACCCGTGTGCTGTCTCGCTCTGATAGACACAGGGATCGCAGGGGCTCCGGTGTGACCAGCACGTGGAAGAGGAAAAGCCAAGGTCGGTTCCTGAGTGTGTGGACTCGGTGCCTAGTTCTAGGATGAGGACGGGCGAGTGCTGCCCCCTTGCCCGACCCAGGGATGGCCTGTGTGGGCTGGTGGCGCAGGGAGGGGTGAGCTGCAGACGGTTCGGAAGTGCCGGACTGAGGAGGCCAGTGTTCTTTGCCCATGGCTGCAGAGCAGATTCCCCCACCGCATCCATCATAACTCCCAGTCAAGGACACAGCTTGGGTGAGGGCCTTAGTTACTGTCTCAGTTGAACCCACAAGTCTTTTATTGATTTGCTTGAGGGGTGGGTCTCAAGTTGGGTCAGTCAAGTTGGGTCTCTCCCATGGGGTGGGTCTCAAGTTGGGTCAGTCATTGGTTGGCCCTTCCCTCAATCTCTGCTCCATCTTTATCCCTGCACACGTTGTAGGCAGAGGAAATTTTGCGTCTGAGGTGATCCATGTTGCATGGCACAGAAGCCATTAGCCATATGCTACTTGGGCCCCTTCTGTGACATCCGTGTGGCTGTGGCAGAGGGCACACCTCTGTCCCACTAAGACTGCCCCCAAATCTTCTCCTCCCATCCGCCTTTGTAGCCAGGGGCCCCAGCTGTCTTCTGCCCTTCAGGCTGAATGTTCTGGTACACATGAGGGCCCAGAGAAAGGAGGGTTTGCCTTCTGTATTTCATCTCTACAACCTGTGTTGAGGCCCTGTGTGCTAACCATAGCCCTAATGGCACACACACACACACACACACACACACACACACACACACACACACACAAACACACACCCCTGTTGCAGTCAGAGCCCGCAGAGGTGGACATTCTATAGTGGTGGGCGGCCTCCCTGGGAGCAGTACTCTTAAAAAAAAAAACCAAACTTATTTATTCATTTTACATCCCTCACAGCCCCCTCCCTCCTCTCATCCCAGTCCCACCCTCCCACTCTCTGCCTCCTTCCCCCTCCCATTCTCCTCAGAAAAGGGGAGCTCCCCCCCCAACCCAGCACATCAAGTCTCATCAAGACTAAGTGCATCCTCTTCCCCTGAGGCCTGAAAGGCGGCCCAGCCAGGGGAAAGGGATCCAAAAGCAGGCAACAGAGTCCATGTCAGAGACAGCACCAGCCCCACTTGCTAGGGGACCCACATGAAGACCAAGCTTCCCATCAGTTACATACCTAGGAACAGTCCATGCATGCTCTTTGCTTGGTGGTTCAGTCCCTGTGAGCGCCTATGGTCCTTGGTTAGTTGGGTCTGTTGGACTTCCTGTGAAGTTCTTGTCCCTTCTGGGTCTCTCTCTCCTCAAGACTCCCTGTACTCCGCCTAATGTTTGGCTGTGGGTGTCTATATCTATTGAGATTTGCCGCTGGGGGGAACCTCTCAGAGGACAGTTATGCTAGTCTCCTGTCTGCAAGCACAGCAGAGTTTCATTATCAGTGTAGGGGGTTGGCTCTCTCCCATGGGGTGGGTCTCAAGTTGGGTCAGTCATTGGTTGGCCCTTCCCTCAATCTCTGCTCCATCTTTATCCCTGCACACGTTGTAGGCAGAGGAAATTTTGCGTCTGAGGTTCTGTGAGTGGGTTGGTGTCACCCTCTTTTCATTGGAAGCTCTGCCTGGCTATAGGAAGTGGTGACTTCAAGTTGCACTACAAAGCAATAGTAATAAAAACCACATGGTATAAACAGGTTGATCAATTGAATTGAATCAAAGACCCAGAAATAAGCTTACACACCTTCGGACACTTGATTTTTGACAAAGAAGTCAAAACCATACAATAGAAAAAGGAAAGTATCTTCAACAAATGGTGCTGGTCTAACTGTATGTCTACATGTAGAAAAATGCAAATAGACCCATATTTATCACCCTACACAAAGCTCAAATCCAAGTAGATCTAAAACTGATACACTGAATCTAATAGAAGAAAAAGTGTGGAAGAGCCTTGACCTCATTGGCACAGGAGACAACTTCCTTAACAGAACACCAACAGCACAGTCTCTAAGATCAACAATCAATAAATGGAACCTCATGAAACTGAAAAGCTTCTGTAAAGCAAAGGACACAGTCATCAGAACAAAATGACAGCCTACAGACTGGGAAAGGATCTTCTCCAACCCTTCATCCTACAGAGGGCTAATATCTAAAATATACAAAGAATTCAAGAAATTAAATACCAACAAACCAAATAATCCAACTAAAAATGGGGCACAGAGCTAAACAGAATTCTCAACAGAAAGATCTTGAATGGCTGAGAAGCACTTAAAGAAATGCTCATGATTCTTAGTCATCAGGGAAACGCAAATCAAAATGATGCTGAGATTCCATCTTACATCTGTCAAAATGGCTAAGATCAAAAACTCAAGTGACAGCACATGTTGATGGGGATGTAGAGAAAGGGGCATCCTCCTTCATTGCCAGTGGGAGTGCAAACTTGTACAACCATATTGAAAATCGAAATCTGGAGGTTTCTCAGAAAATTGGGAATACTTCGCTCTCAAGACCCAGCTATACCACTCCTGGGCATATACCCAAAAGATGCCCCACCATACCACAAGGACGCTTGCTCTACCATGTTCATAGCAGCTTTATTCATAATAGCCAGGATCTGGAAACAACCTAGATGTCCCTCAGCTAAAGAATGAATAAAGAAACGGTGGCACATTCACTCAAGGAAATATACTACTCAGCTATAAAAAACAAGGAGATGATGAAATTTGCAGGCAAATGGTTGGAACTAGAAAAGATCCTGAGTGAGGTGACCCAGAAAGACACACATGGTATGTACTCACTTATAAGTGGTTATTATTCATACAGTACAGGATAACCATGCTACAGAGCCACAGACCCAAAGAAGCTAAGTAACAAAGAGGGCCCAAGGGAGCATGCTTGAATCCCACTCAGAAGTGGATGAAGAGAGAGAACTGGCTGGGAGAGGGGGTGGGAGGTGAGAGGGCTGGGAGAGAGAGGCGAAAACAATAGGGGGCTCATCTCAGGGACAAGCCTACACCACAGGGCGGGCTCCAGGGAGGATGTGGGGGTGACTCTAGCTGAGGCTCCTGGCAGCAGAGGATGTGGAGACTGAGGTGGATGCAGTTCTGTGTGGCAGCCCCTCGTCGGGCCCTCCAACCTTCCCCTGAGCACATAAGGCCCCGCCAGGAATTTGTAAGCGTTGGGCAGTGTGTGCAGCTCAGGGCCCAGATCATTGAAAATGATCACTACAGTGAAGCCAAGGTCCTGCTCTCCACACACAAGCCCCTTAGAAACAGCTCCATGACCCTGCAAGGCCATCTAGTCTGGGCTTTGGCAAGCGCCGCCTTCTAGGTCCACCCTCGCTGTACTTGGGCAGGGTGCAAAGGTCTCACAGCCCAGTGAGAGGAATGCTGCTTGTCACATGCTAGCTACGAATGGTGGCACACAGAGGTGGGAGGGGGAAGGAGCCATGGCCAGTTCCACGTGGTCAGAGTGGCCTTCCTAAAAGAGGTTAAGGTGGGCAGCATAATCAGGGAAAGGCCACCACAAAGGAGTCATGTGTCTGCCAAGGCCTGGGGGCTAGCAAACAGGCCATCGTGTTGGGATGGAGAGCAGGTCCTGGTAAGGGGGATGGTACCAGTCTCATGCCGTGAACTTCAGTCTCAGTACTCTCAAGGGGCAAAGGCCAACTGCCCTTCACCCTGGTATCCCCAAGATCTGCACCCAGCAGCATCCAGGCTGCTTGTGGAATGCACATAACTCCAGGCTGGCTTTGGGCCCTGGGCTGGAGGTGATGTCCCCTTTCGGGGCCAGCTGGACCAGCATCCCTGAAAGCCCATCCTGCCTTGGTTGGTGACCTCAGTTGAGGTCCTTAGAGAGGCGCCCAAGGTCCCCCGCTTTTCTTTTCCCCAAGGTGTACGGTGTTGACCAGCAGGTGGCGGCATTGGCTGCAGTACAGACACAGGCCTCTCTTGCCCTCCAGAGGCCAAAAACATAGTGGCCTGTGGTTGCACCGCTGTGTGGCATTGACCAGCCAGCAGCTAAGGGGGCTGCCCTGACACAGCAATGAAGTCTCGGGAAGGTTGCCCGCCTCACTCCACTCTCTGTTCCTCCTCTCTCTTCCAGGCTGGTCTCTTGTCACCTAGGTCCCAGCATTTCAAGCCTTACATAGACTCCAGGGGAACTCAGAGACAGGCGTGACTCCCAGGAAAATAACAAGGGCAGAGTCAGCTCTCCAGCTGTCTGTGGGAC